CAACACCACACTAAGATCTACTATTTATAGACTCAACTAACCGGTCATCCATATGGCTTACAATGGGCCACATTACAATGGGCCACATGGCAAATCACAATGTCGGTTATGGAGTGACCGTGTTGCTCTCCATACATACCACTGGTACAACTCTCACCCATCATGCTTTGCAGCACGACACTAACATCTACTATTTATAGACTCAACTAACCGGGTCATCCATATGGCTTACAATGGGCCACATGGCAAATCACAATGTCGGTTATGGAGTGACCGTGTTGCTCTCCATACATACCACTGGTACAACTCTCACCCATCATGCTTTGCAACACCACACTAAGATCTACTATTTATAGACTCAACTAACCGGTCATCCATATGGCTTACAATGGGCCACATTACAATGGGCCACATGGCAAATCACAATGTCGGTTATGGAGTGACCGTGTTGCTCTCCACACTTCGTTACCCTTCGGACTTGTAAAAATAGTTCTTCCAAGTTCGAACTAGTTGCAGATAAGCACTTGATATCCCAAAAAGAAAGCTCCCCAAGTAGTTGCATGAATGTCTCTTTCACTCATGTGAACTTGACTGCTAGCAGCGTCCCCGTAGGACGGCATCCTCCTAGCCAGTGGTTTAATTATACTTCGTATGGCCGACAATCCCGTTTTATACCACATTGCCATTCACAAGAAAATCCGCCATACGTCATGCAATGTTGTCCTTTTCACAAAGGAGTTCAGAAAGCCACTCCTCCATCTCTTCAATGTTAACTAGCCTCAAATACAACACACTTGATTGACTCCATTTGATCCTACGTGTAATACATTTTAGTGCATTTTTAAAAGGGTGCGGTTTGTATTGAGTTGAAGCTCTAAACAATCAAAGTAAAGCTCACATATAAAAAGTGGGGAGAAATGTGGGATCAATACTGGAAAATTTTAATTATATAATTTAAAGCTTCAAAAATGGTGTAGATCATGTAGATTTAAAAAAACTTGAAAATTGTTGGTAAAAAAATACATTACAAGATGCACTATATTCAAAACTTGAAATCCAATTTTTTTCTCATGTCCATGCACCATGATGTTGAGGTGGTATATTTGAGCATCAAAACCACTTCTTCTAGTGAAATTTATGAGATGGGCTCTAATTTGATTGTTTAGAGCCTCGGCTCTATATACACTCTTTATTTTTTTAGAATGGATCGTGGGTCTGCCTTAGTTGCAAGTTGATAACTATATGTGATGCCTTGCATAAGTGATTAGAAACTCCGAGAATGGAACCATGCAGGGCCAAGCCTGAATTGGCCGGTTTGAGAGGTAAAGGCTTGGGTCATGAAAGAGAAAACAACCTTAAAAGGTTTTTCTCTTTTCCTAATGGTTATATCTTTAAATCTATATTTTTTTGAGTAGATCAATAGGGAATACATGCCCTTAACCATCCAGTTGTTTTTAAATACATAAGCAAGAATGAAAACCTAGACCAATAGCTCAAGCTTAAGTAATGCCACCACTTAAGTAATGCCACCACTTCGATCTCAACCCCATTCCCACATCTCTAAATCTATACGCACATTGTTCTCAAACAAGGACGAGTTTATAATTTAGTAAACTAAGTTTGGAAACAACTTTTAAAAAAAAAAAACTTTTAAAACAATCATATTGCAAAACTTATAAAACGTTACAAAATGAGAGGCACCAATTGAATAATAAAGTAACGATAAAACTCATAGAATGCAATTTTGGGCTTGGAAAATTCATCAAACTCACCAATTCCACCTCAATAATTATAGATTAAAAAATAATAATTTCAAGCCCTAAAAATAATATATCTTGAAAAACTATTGCACAAATCTGCCGCATTTACGCCACTTTTAAAACTTCATATTCCATAATTATTCCATTATGGAGCACTACAACTGTATTTTTCGGTGGACTTTACACCCCAATAAATTTTAAGTCTTTTTTCATTTTTATGATATGACCGTTGCCGACATTGCTAAATAAGTAAAATAAGTAAGAAAAGTAATGAAAAATGTCAAAATCCCCTATTTACTTTGCATAAGAAACCGTGTCTTATGTTCCTATATAAACATTTACTAGCTCATACCCCTTATATATACGACGTAAATACAGTTTTTCTCCCAAATTTTTCTGTTGTACTGATCTTATTTCCCATCTTCCATTTATTCCTACAATTTCTAACTTTGAACCTTCACCTTGTTCAAAGTAGTAAATAAATTTCTAGTTCGGATATTCAGGATTTGAAATCAAGTTAAAGTCTTGATTTCATGTCTTCAATATCTGAAGCCAATATTTGATTTTCCATTTTAGACCTTCAAGATAGGAAGCCGTAATTATTATTTTTTTGACTTTGAACTTCGAAGATCCAAAGTGGAGTCTTAAATATCTTCCACTTCGAATCTTCATCCGAATTTTACTTTGAAATTTGAAGGTAAGAGGTTAGAGTAAAAAAAAAAAAGGGAAAATATAAAAACATATATCTTAATTTTTAGATTATTGAAAATAAACTCCGAACTTTCTAAAACCTCGTTCGTACATATTTTCTTCACTTTTTATATTTTTTGACCAAAATAGCCTCCATGGTAGTTTTAAGACCGTGAAAACATCATGGTGGACTCACGACTGTAATGGTAATGGGCGGTTTAATGTTTTGAACTATCACAGCACTTAAACTGCTATGATGGTCGTTAAGAGACATCCCGGCTCTTAAAAAGCTGTGATAGTCGTTAGGAGTTTTGATGCCCAAGGTAGAGCGGTTGAATTAAAATCGTCTAATAAACCATCATGGCTCTTTAAGTGTCATGAGGCTTCAAAATTATATTTGAATTAGATCTCGTCATGAGTATCACGATTTTCAATAGACCGTGATGCTTTCATAGTTCTAACTTCTAAGATAATCGTAAAAGCTATTTTTGTCTATTAACCCAAAAAAGATGTCTAGATAAAGTCTTGAAAAATTTAAAGTTTATTTCCAATAATCTAAAAATTTAAAAACATTTTTGATAATTTTTGAAAAAAATTCATCATCACTTGGATCCGAAGTCAACACCATCTAGGCCAAAGTAGGGTATTTTAGAAAATGTAGAAAAAGGCAAGAGAGGGTATGAATGTAAAATACAGTTTTTTAGGAGAAAACTATAATAAAGAATATCTAGGGGGGCATAAGCGTATGGTTTTCTTTCTTACATGTATATTTTGCTACTATTCTAGTGGTCCAAATACTAGAAAATGAAATAAGTGACAAGGTTCCATGAGCATATTGTCTATTTATTTCCTACGCAAACCTGAACCTAGGAGTTTTAGGACTCTTAATTTTGGAAATGTGGCCTCTTAAATCTAATAACTAATCTCAAAAAAAAAAAAAAAAGAGAATTTTTTTTTATACTTTATATGCATGAAAAAACATAATATCCCATTAAATAGGGACCATCCAATTTTTGGGGGCAAGATCTAAGTGTTGACCCAAATTCTAATTTCTTTTAAAAATAATATTCACCTGAAATATTTTTGTTTTTGGGTGAGTTAATGGAGAGAGGGCCCTTACCCTTGATAAAAATTGAGCTATCAAGCGTAAAAAAAAATCACCATTTGGTAATTCTTAGATAGATGTCAGGAATTCATATAACACATCCTCCCAAGTAGCTATTTTTTGTCTCTTGTTATTCATTATTTCGGTTGTCTTTTTTCCGTTGAATAAGATACATGGTCCCGTGACGTACTTGAATTAACAAATCATAGTCAAAATGATTATAAGTAGAAAATCTGAGCCCAAATCAGAGACAAAACCGTTGTCATTAGTGACAAAAAAAGTTTGAACATTGACCAATCTTTTATTCTTTATCATTAAAAAATAATTAGTGATTTTGTGTATAAAAGTAAATACTTTTTAGAGTGGGATTTGGTGGAAAAAAAGGCAACTGTCTCCTCATTTTTAGCGAGAAACAACGGGAGAGAATGAGAAAAAGGGGAGGTCTCCTCATTTCTAGAGAGAGAAAATGGGAAAAAAGGGGATGGAAGAGAGAAGGTGATGTGTTACAGTAAATCAAGGGCTTAGTGGTAGTACCTTCTAATTCATTCATGGACATGGAATCGATAAAGACTAGAGAGAGAAACCCACACCACTTTTCTCTCACTACAGTGCTTTAGTTTGAAGTTTGAACTTTCAAACTTTCGCACCTGAGTTTGAGCGCACAATCCATTCATTTTAAGCAAAATGGTTTGATAGGGCTGCAACCCTATTAAAAGTTTTTAAAAAAACTTTTACATTGATGGTCTTGGCCTGAAAAGTTATGATCGTGAAAAAAAAAAAAATATATATATATATATATATAATGTTAAGCTCTAACAAACAATTTTTATAATAATATTTATTTATATCAAATATTTTATCATAAAATTAATTTATAGGTCGATAAGATCTGTATTTTTTTTTTTTGAGTTTTGAATTTCATTAAGATTTAAAATTAATTTTAGAGCCCTTATAGAGATTTTGGGGCAGAAAATGATTTTTAGAAGATGATTTGAAATGGGGTTTTATTTTGTTGTTTGGAATTTTAAGCCTTATAGGAATCTCATCCTTCATTTAACTTTCATATATTAGGAAAATTGCTCAAGTGGGGTTGGACCTAGACCTAGACCACATTTCTACAATATACGGATCATAGGTATAAATCATCTTTCTTAAATATGGATACAAATAAGTGGTCCATCTAAAAACAAGTATAACTACCTGTCCAAATATTTTTTTAATATAATTAATATTTTTAATTTTATTATTATTATTTTTTATATATTAATGGTCTTCATGTTAAAAATTATACAATATCTAAAAATTAAAATCAAATTATATTTAAAAGATATGTTTGTTGCCAAGCCGCATTTCTACAATATGCGGGGGGCCGCGTAGATACCGTGTCCCCTCTCTATTGTTAGTCCCTGCTTACTCTCTCTCTCAAATGTAGTGGGCCATTGATCACTGGAACCCTTCCCCGTCCTCACATCACCAGGCCTTTTTGTCTCTCTCTCTCTCTCTAAATCTCTCTCATCACCAGGCCTTTTTGTCACTCTCTCTCTCTCTCTAAATTGAACAATTGGCCGTTCATCACCGGGCATTTCTCCCCCTCTCTAAATTGAACAATTGGCATCATCACCAATTCTCTCTCTCACTCTCTAAACTGATCAACTGGCTATTCATCCCCAAACCCTTTCTCTCTCTACCTCTCTCTCTCTACAATGAAGAATTGAACAGTCATCGTCAAGCTCTCTCTCTCTCTAGTCCCGACCTTGTTCTTTCACTACGTTGGGTTTCAGTGCCACCATTTAAGACCCACCGCGAGTCTTATCACTTCGTGTATTGAACAATCATCTTCTCTCTCTAAATACCCATCGTATTCTCTCACTCTTGTGGATATCAGTTGCTACCGATCGAGACCCACTATCACTGCTTTCTCTCTGTAAAGTGTACAACTGGGCCATTGATTATCTCTCTCTGGGCCATTGATTTTCTCTCTACTTTCTCTCTCTACTTTCTCTCTCTAGAGGTACTAATGCCTCCCGGTAGCAAGAAGAGAGCAAAGGAAAAGGCCAAGAAAAGGAAAGAAATGGGGGAGGTCCATCCACCAACTAACATTCAACCATCAGGTGCTTCCATCTCTCTATCTGTACCTTCCTTTCTCTCTTTCGCTGCTTGCTCTCACTACAAATGCTCTTTCTATCTCCTCACCGTTTCTGCTCTTTTGTTTCTCTCTCTCAGTTAAAGTGGGCGACGCGTCTCTGCGTCGTGCCTCTTTAGCAGAGGAAGAATCTGCTAAATCACCTGTGCACAAAGGGATGGAACACTCCGAGGAAGAGGAAGCCAACCATTCAGAGCTAGAAGAGGAAGTTAATGGCGATGGAAAGAGAGACATAGTGATCTCTGAGGAGAAAGAAGGCATTAATGGTGAGGAGAAGAAAAGTGGGTCTTCTGTTCTTGAGAAAGAAGATGAAACTAAGATTGAGCATGTTGATTTCTTGCCAGAAGTGGAGGTTAAGGACTTGACCTCAGGTGATTTTACTGAGAGCTCTGTTATTGAACCAGTGAGCAAAGATGGTGGCATCAAAGAAGAGAAGGATGAAGTGGGTCCGAAATCTTCGACTCAGCATGTCGATTTCTTGCAAGAATCAGGGGTTAATACTCCAATCTCAGATGATTCGAGTAAGCTTCCCGTGACTGAAACAGAGGGTAGCATTGCTGTTCCCATAGAACAAAGTAATGAATTAGGTCTGAATTCTTTCACCCCCTTCATTAAAAGGGTCGATGATTTCTTGCAAGATGTTGGGGTTAATTCTTCCATATCAGATAAGTCCAGTGAATTGGGCCTGAATGCTTTTACCCCATTTATTCAACGCGTTGATAATTTTTTGCAAGAAGGTGGGGTTAACTCTTCGATATCGGATGGGATAAGTAAGCTTAGTTTTACTGAACCAGAGAGTGACTCAAAAGAAAAGAATGAATCAGGTCTAGGTTCTTCTATCCCATTGATTGAGAGTGTCCATTCTTTTCCTGAAACAGAGGTCAAATCTTTGATTTTAGATGAATTGAGTAAGCTTTCAGTTACTGAACAAGAGAGCACCACCAAAGAAGAGAAGGAGGAATTGGGTCTGAATTCTTCTCCCGTTTTGATTGAACATGTTGAATTGTTGCAAGAATCTGAGTGTAGTTCTTCAATCTCAGATGCATTGTCTAAGCTTCCCGTTGCTGAAGCAGAAAACGAAACCAAAGGAGAAAATGATGAATTGGGTCTGAATCCTGTTGCCTCATCTGTTGATAAATCAGAGAGCAGTGGAAAGGAGAAGAATGAAAATACCTCACCAATTGATCGATCAAAAGACGAGGAAAATACCCCAACCAAAGAAATCCGGGTTGAGAATGTGAGCACACGTAGTTTGGTTAGAGAGAGTTGCTCTGAGGTGGTTTCTCTGCCAGTTTCATGTATCCAGGACCAACCTATAACTTTGCCAACTTTTCCATACCCAGTGCCTGAGCTTGAACGAAGTAAAGACATAGCTAAACCAGAAAGTTCAGACTCCAAGGTTTGTCAAATTAGACAAAAAACTATGCTTTATTGCTTTGCTTTCTTCTCTTGTGCTTTTCCTTTGTTTTTTCTCGTTGTTCTTGATTGAAACTCTTTTAGTTTGATTGTAATTTGCAGCCAGTTTCGGTTTGGCCACTTCAAGCAAGACCGAGGTCCTTATGGAGCTGCTGTGGATTGCTCGATGTCTTCTTTAGAGGCTCTCGTGATTAATGTGAGTTGAAATCTTCTTTGGAATTTGGGCTCTAAATTTGTTCCCGGCTATATTCATTGACCTATGGGACTTTCTATAGTTTATTTATTCTAGATTGTAGCTGCTACCCCATAAAAAGTCATTCTATTATTCCCAATGGAACCCCTTGACACCAATTCAGGAGCGGTTTATAGCGATCATTTTAATTGTATATGTATGGCCTCTATGTTCTAGTTTTTTCATTTGATTCTCTTGTTATGTATATTAGGCAAAACATGCCTATAAACTGTTCATATTTATAATTTTACTTTCTTTTTTTTAAAAATTATTATTTAGTATGTGTGTGTATGCAAGCGAGCATGCGTGGTGTTGTTGTGTGAATGCTCTAAACTGGATGGGTTGATATGTTGGCAAATTAAAGAGCGAGAAAGTAGACAACCAATAAATACAATAACAACTACAAGCAAAGAGTAAAATGCATGAGGTTCATCAATGCAAGAGTAAATTGTATAAGATGAATCTTTCCCGATAGTGGTAGCGAACACTAACTTACCCTTTATCTCTCACAGAGAGTCTCTCAACTTCATGTGGACCTCCTACAAAGCCAAGCTTTTCTCCCTCTATTTCTTTGTTGTAATCCCAGCTTCTATCTCTACGTAACAAGTTAACAACCCAATTAAAGAGAACATGTATGTGAGGTCATCTCTATCTTCCTATAGCAAAAGGCCAATCTATTCCCATAATATCCAAGTTTTTTGTAAGTTGGTTAATAAGAAGATATTGATTCCCCATTGATAAGGATTCCAATACCTACAAAATAGGTAAGCTAAGTCTTAAAAGATAGGAAACCAAATAATAGCTCCGTGTAGGTTTGCTTGGAATTCAAGACAACCCCAAAAATCTCCACCTTGGCTTGAATTCCATCAAGTCAGCAAAAGAAATACCATTCTAGTTCGACTGTCTTCTCCATACATGCCCACATAGTGGGCACCAATGACCTTGGTGGCAACATTAACCAGGTTTGAGCACACCTTAGACTTCTGTAGAGGAATCAACTTGGTCGATATATCTGCAACATTCCTCTTGATGTTGATCAACAATGTGATATCAAGCTATTATCTCATAAATAAAGTGAATTTGACATCAACATGCCTCATGCTCACATGATAGACAGACGTGGTTCTTTGCATAATATATTGCATTCTGACTATTACAATAAACGATAGTCCCATTTTGCTATAACCTATAAGCCTAGATCGTTTACAAGTTCTCTAAGCCAAAAGGCATTTTCACTGCTTTAATAATAGTCATGTATTTTGCTTCGGTCATATACAAGGCAACTGTGTGTTATAGCATTGGCCTCCAACTAATTGAAGTTCTAGCACGTGTATAAACAATCAGTTGTGGACCTTCTATTGTCTAAACACTTGCAAGATAATCATTGACATAACCAACAACCTTGTCACTGAACTTGTTGGTACTGTTAAACACCAGACCCATAGTAATGTAACCCTTGGGAACTTGGTATCCATTTCACTGCATACCAATGCTCCTTTCTTGGGTTGGCCATATACTTGCTAACAACACTACCTGCTAGAGAATATTTGGATAAGAGCAAGCTATCACATATGTGAGGCTCCCAATTGCACTTGCACAAGGAACACAAGACATGTATTCTCTTTTGACATCTGCATTTGGAGATAATGTTGTCGACAATATGAGATGTGCATCCCGAATTTTGTGGGAACCTTCTTAGCATACTCTTTTGAGATGGCCATAATTTACCCAACTTTCTAATCTTTACACATCTTCATGCCAAAATTTTCTTAATCGAACCTAATCTTTCATCACAATTTTTTTGCCAACCTTAGTCTTCAATTTGCCAACCTTAGTCTTCAATTTGAGTAACAATAAGAATGTCAGCAATGTAAAGCATCACATAGATGAACTAACCATCAATATATATCGTAATTTAGACACAATTGTCATGCTGATTTCTGATATACTCGTTCCTAGTTATGAACTTATCAAAGTGTTTGTGCCATTGCCTAGGGGCATGCTTTAGACTGTTCAATGGCTTCTTCAACTTGCAAATGTGATCCTCTTTGCCTTCGCCACAAACCCTTCAGGCTGAGTCATATAGATCTCTTCCTCAAACACTCCATGTAGGAACATGATATTGACATCTAACTACTGACTCCAAATCAAACAATGCAACCATGGCTAATGACTCCCACAATGAGAGAGAAGATTTCATAATTTTTGTGCTTAGCCTTTTGCAACCAAATAAGCCTTAATCCTATCATCACAAGGCTCAACTAATCCTTCCTTCTTATAAGTCCATTTACATCCAATAACTCTCATGCCCTTAGGCAATGTCACGAATCCCAGGTGCGGTTCTTTTGAGGAGATACCATCTCCTCATTCGCAGCATCACTCTACCTGCTATTGTTTGCGTATGTTATAGATTCCTAAAAAGTGGATGACTCTTGGTTTGTGTTAGCGTATCGAGTAAGCTACTATGTCCTTAAAATTACACCGACTTCTTGTTTCTTTATCCCTTTCAAGCTGAGGCTCTTCTTCATGTGGAGTAGACTCAATTCCTCGTCAGGCTTAACATTTTTCTCCACGCTTTCAAATAAAATTTCTGACACATCTTTTGGAGTTTTATTAAATCTCAGTGGCATCACCATTGGTGATCACTTTTTTCCGCACCTTTCTGAATGTGATTTAACACGATAGGTTATCAAACCTTGCATCATAACTGATGATAAACTTGAGAGACTAGCCAAGGAAAACACTCTTCTTCGATCTTGAACTTATGATCCTTCACATGAACATACGTACGACAACAAAAAATTTTAGCCAAGGAAAACACTCTTCTTCGATCTCGTACTTATGATCCTTCACATGAACATATGTAGGAAAACAAAAAATTCTTAGATGAGAATAATTAGCAGGTTTATTAGTCCATTCCTCTTTCGTTGTCTAGCACTCTATCGCTATAGATGGTGACCTGTTGATGATGTAACGTTCTTTATTAATTGCTCTGCCAAAATTCCTTCGACAAGCTAGTGTTACTCAGTTCATGTGCTCAACGACTCCATTTTGTTGCGCCGTTTTTGGAGTGCTGTAGTGATGAACAATTCCTTCACTCTTAAAAAAGTTTGCAAACTTTGTCGTAATGTGCTTTCCACCTTTATAAGTCCTCAAGCACTTGACCTTTTTTATGGCATGTTTTTACACTTTAGCTTTCTAGTGCATGAATGTGTTAAACACATATGTCTTCTTCTTTTTCATTGTGTAGACCCTCATTTTCTTCAAGAAATCATCATTGAAGGAACAAAATATAGGATCCTCTTTTAGAAATGACTGATGTAGGGCCCCATACATCTGAACGGACCTACTGAAGGATGTTCTTTATGTTATGTGCCAACGTGCTAAAATTCACCTAACATTGCTTCCCATAAACATGATGCTTATAGGAGTCTAACTAGCATTTCTTCATGCCATTGATCAATTGATTTTTTACTTAGTTATGCCAAACTGGTCACCCATGGGCCCAATCTCATATAACACAAATGAGCCAAATTGGAATCACCACCCTCAAACATGGAAGTAACTCCTCTATCTGTAACGATGGTCGTACTAAGTAGCACATACAAATTCGTTCCAATCTTTTTGCCTTTCATTACAATTAGCATACCCTTTAGAACTTTCAGGACTCCTTTAACATATTTGTAGCTATTGGAGTCTAACGTGAACAAAGACATGAGATTCTTTCCTAGATTTGACACTTATCTCACATCTATCAAGATTGTCATGATTCGATCATCCATTGTGATATTAGCTATCCATAGATTGATGGTCTTACAAACCTCATCATTCATCATCGGAATTGAGCCACCATCAAAGATCTTGTATGTGGTGACCTAGTCTTGATGAGGGTACATATGATAGGATCACCTTGAATAAGAATCCATGAATCTTTAATCACAACTCATCGAGACTGACGATACATTCTTTGTTTCAATCAATAAACGAATATTTGGCTGCCCGGCCGCCTAGGAGGACGTTTTCAGAAAACGACTACGCGTGGGTAAGGCAGGTAGTATCAGGCGGAATCCTTTAGGTGCCTGCCTATGCGGTGTAAAAGGCGGGTGCCTAGGTGCCGCCTTGAAAATATGATAATTAATTTGCAATTCTTAATTTATTATAAGTAATTCTTAATTTATTAATTCATAGTAATTAATTTAACGATAAATATTGATTATTAATTTATCGAAATTGTTTTTGCATGTGACAGTAATTATTAATTTATTGGTAAACCAAAAAAGTAATATTAATTTGTAATTATTAATTTATCAGTAAACAAAAAGACAATATTAATTCGTAATTATTAATTTATCGAAAATTCTTTTTGCATGTGGCAATAACTATTAATTTATGGGTAAACCAAAAAAGTAATATTAATTAGTAATTATTAATTTATCAAAAATGTGTTTTGCATGTAACAATAATTATTAATTTATTGATAAACAAAAAATAGTATTAATTAGTAATTAATAATTTATCGAAAATGCTTTTTGCATGTAGTAGTAATTATTAATTTATTATTAAACCAAAAGATAATATTAATTCATAATTATCATTTTATCGAAATGCTTTTTGTATTTAACAATAATTACTAATTTATTGGTAAACCAAAAAAATAGTATTAATTCGTAATTATTAATTTATCGAAAATAGTTTTTGCATGTAATAATAATGATTAATTTATTAGTAATCCAAAAGATATATTAATTCGTAATTATTAATTTATTGATAGTAGTTTTTGCATGTGATAGTAATTAATTTATTAGTAAACCAAAAAGATAGTATTAATTCGTAATTATTATTAGGAAAAATTATGTATATATCCATTATATTTACCATTATTACAAAAATACCTTTTAGTTTCTGTTATTACAGATATATCCGTATTAACTTCATAACACTTTTTAAAAGAAAGACAGAACTGC